TCCCCCCGGCCCTGCCACAGCCCCCACCCCCAGGCTGTGGGTGTAGCCCCCCAGGGCTGGGCTGTTTTGCCCTCCGACCCCCTGCTCCTTGCCATAGAAACATGGAACAGGTCGTGTTGGAAGGGACCTCAAAGACCATCTCATTTCAACCCCGCTGCCGCGGGCAGGGACACCTTCCACTAGAAGTAAAGTGTCCTGCCAAGTAAAGTCTGACTTTACATCTGTGACTGCCTCCTCCTGGTCCTTGGTCATGCAGGGTGGAAGCTGTGAGAGTGAGGGCACCGAATTCCCTCCAGAACAACCCAGGGTCTCAGTTTGGTGGCACTTGGAGTCGGGGTGGGGAGCACAGACTGGCACCCATGGGGTCTGTGGGGCACATCCCCCCGGGGTGTCCCTCTCTGCCCCACTGCCCGGGTGAGGGCTGTCCCCCACCCGTGCCACAAGCGCGGCGGTTCCCAACACGCTTCGCCGGCGGGCGCTCAAACATAACAAATGCTCCCAGGGAAACGAGCCCAACCTGTTTGCCGCGGGGCTGCGGCCCGTGCAGGAATGTGGGCGGTTGGTGTGACCACAGGCGGGTCCCACGGGGACGCGGAGCTCAACTACCCGCACTCCCGCCCTCGGCACCCAGGCGTCCGCACCATGCTCCCGCTGCTCCCGCTGCTCCCGCTGCTCCTCCTGCTCCTGCCCGCAGCCCACGGTGCAGGTGAGTCCGACGGCGCCATCGGGATGGGCTGGGGATCCCCCTCGGCGTTGCGGGGATCCTCTGTGAACCACAGGACCCCAGAGCCTGGAGGTGTAGGGCAGCTGATGCCTTCCTTATTCTGGGTCCTATTCTGGGTGCCACCTCTAGTGTCCCTGGTGTCACTGACCTGAGTTGGCTGACACAGTGTGGGGTCCTTTGGGGGTCCCCTTTGCATTGCAGGAGTCCACCGTGCACAGGCACCAGGACCCCCCTGAGCCTGGAGGGGTAGGGCAGCTGATGCTCCCCCTATTCGGGGTTCCACCCTCAGTGCCACCCTGGTGTCAACGACCTGGGTCCTCTGGGG